TCGTTATTATAATTGTTGTTATCGCCATTGTTATTATCATTACCATTTTATCATTGTTATCAATATCATTATTTTCAATTCTCATCGTTATTATAATTGTTGTTATCGCCATTGTTATTATCATTACCATTTTATCATTGTTATCAATATCATTTATTATTTTTCATATTAATATCAATATCATCATTGTTATTGATAGCATTATCATAATCATTATCATTATTTCTGAACATAATCATTATTATCATTACCATTATCGTTTATTATCATCATTATCGTTTGTTATCATTATCATTATCTTAAATCATTATCCTCATTATATTTTAGCATCATTATCATTATCGTTTAGCATCATTATCATTATCTTTTATCATCATTATTCTTGATCATTATCATTATTTTCCATCATCAGTGCTATTATCTTTAATCATTATCATCATTATCTTTTATCATCATTATCATTATATTTTATCAATATTATCACCATCTTTTACCAGCACTATAATTATTCTTATCATTATCATTTATCATCATTGTTATTATCTTTTATCACCATTGTCATCATCTTTTATCAACATCATATTTTATCTTTATCTTTTATCATCCTTATCATTTTTTTATTATCACCATTATCTTTTATCATCATCATTATCGTTTATCACCATTATCATTATCTTTAATCCTCATTATCATGATCTTTTATCATCATTATCATTATCATTTATCATCATTATCATCATCCTTTATCATCATTATCCTTATCTTTTATCATCATCATCATCATCATCATTATGATTTATCATCATTATCATTATCTTTAATCATCATCATTAGCATTATCTTTTATCATCATTCTATCTTAACATTATCATTATCCTCATCCTTCATCATCATATTTTATCATTATCCTTTTTTATCATTATCATCACTATCCCTCATCTTATCACTATTGCGCATCATGCTTCCCGACTCGCGCCTAAAGCTGACCTCCAAGAAGCATCGTTTGTTCCAGAAGGTCTAGAATGCGCGCCAATTTTTTTTATGATGATGTTATGGTATTGGCTTTATTTATGGATATTTACCCTTGCTATTATTATTGTTATTATTTTGTGTTATTATTGTTATTATTTTGTCTGTTAGGGGAGGGGTAATGGTTTTATGGTAATATGAATGTATATGGATGTTTGCGCATACTTTTTTGTAAGGTTATTATGGTAGTAACTATTTTCATGGATATTAGCGCTTGTCATTCATTATTTTATCATTATCTTTGTTATTATCTTTATTATTATAATGGTATCGACTACAATTCACATTTGCACTTTTGGGTAATATTATGGTAACAAATATAACCTGGATATTTGCACTTGCCATCGTCTTTGGTAGCAAATAGAAATGGACAATCTGAAATGTCGACAGGCGTAAAAGTTTTATAGATTTCGGAATTTGTAAAAAAAAAAAAAGCTTTAGGCTCGTTGGAAGCTATACAATGGACAACTTTTCGTAAGTAGAAAATATATGAATTAGAATGAATATCTTCACAATACAAGACAAGTCTCTGACCGGTTTCGAATACATTTTCGTCAGAAATTCAAAAATCATGTATTTCTGACGAAGATATATACAAAACCAGTCAAATACATCTTGTATTGTGAAGATATTAATTCTCATCCACACCTTTGTTTTAATTTGTCACGATAAATACAGTTCAGCTTATCGTCTCAATTACTAGGTTAGGCATAGAGAGTGGACAGCGATACCAGTGTCTGTGGTTGACGGGATATTATATTACCCAAAAACCCGAAGAGGCTTTGGTACGATCCGAAATGTTCATCAGGTTAATGATGGAATGTATCTTGTTCTATTTTATTTAAACCTGTATCATATCTACCATTCCTCCTGACTGTATGTTTTTTTTTCGTTCCTGTATCAACGGTACAGAGAGAGAGAGAGAGAGAGAGAGAGAGAGAGAGAGAGAGAGAGAGAGAGAGAGAGAGAGAGAGAGAGAGAGAGAGAGAGAGAGAGAGAGAGAGGGAGAGAGAGAGAGAGAGAGGATAGATAGATAAAGAGAGAAGAAGAGGATAGATAGAGAGAGGGAGAGGATAGACAGGGAGAGAGAGGTTAGATAGAGGGAGAGAGGGTAAATAGAGATAGAGAGAGAGAGGATAGATAGATAGATAGAGAGGATAGATATATATAGAAAGAGAGAGGGAGAGGGTAGATAGAGAGAGAGAGTATAGATAGAGAGAGAGAGGGGGAGGATAGATAGAGAAAGAGCTGTAGACACTTCGTCGCCCCAGAGAAGACAGGGATTTAGCGTCCCTTCCCGGCCTCCCCCATACCTAAACCGCCACCCCCCCCAAACCTAACCTCCCCCCCCCTTTATATAGGAGCCTGCACGGCCTCTGCCAAAAGCCTGCCTGCCTGCGGCTGTCATCGTGGCGACGTCTTCCGCCTGCCCGAAGCCGGCGAAACCGAATCGAAACACCCACGCCTCCGC